AGGATGACGGATGGAGACACCCTCTTTAGCCTGACCTAAATATCTTCTGAATCGTACCTCAGCACCCCGCACACGGATGGCCTCGGGGGGCATTGGGCAGATTCCAACATGAGGAGGAGAAAAAAGGCTTTTGCTGGGCAAGTGATCCTGGTGCTGGTGAAACTGGTTTTGCCCGTTGATTATGGCGGTCTATGGCGGTCATTCTCCTCCTGAGCTGCCCAGCCCACCCCAGATGCATTCTCTGCCCTTCTCGGCTGCTCTCATGCATCCGGCAGGACCTGGTGCGCAGTTGGACTCTATCCACAGGAGACACCAAAAGGGGGTCAGACATCAGGAAGAGAGTCAGAGTGTCTGTGTCCCTGTCCCGCCGTCTCTGGGAGCAGCTGCACCCTCCGCAGTCACAGCGCCCCCTACAGCCCTTCCTCTGGGGTCAGTTTTCACCGGGTTTTTTGTAACCGTCCCTCCTCCTCCAGCTTCTTTAAGCACTGAGGGCTGTAGACTTCACACAGCGGCTGGTCTCTGCATGGTGCATTGTTCTGAGCCTATTACTGTAGTACTGCCCACATTTCCCTTGACAGCCCTTTTGTTAAAATTCTTTACTTCTTCCTTTACTTATTCTTCCTTCCACCCCACTACTACTACAATCCTCCTCCTCCTCCTCCTCCTCCTCCTCCTCCTCCTCCTCCTCCTCCTCTTCTTCTCCTCCCCTCCCTCCCTCCTTCTCTCATATTTGGGGCTGGGGATTGAACTTCATGCATGAAAAGCTATACTCCCAGCCCTGAGTTCCTCCTTTTAACTAAGGTGGATTCTCTTTCCAGCCTGATACAAGAACTCTCTTCCGAAATTTCTTCTTAAACTTTGGAGTGTAAGAAGACAGACCTGGTGTCTCCCATTCCTGTGTGTGTTGAGGTCCTTGAGACCACTGTACTGCTAAAACCTCAAGTAGCCATAGGGTGGTAGGACTGCTTCCTTCCTAGGTGTATCTGGCTGAAACATTTCATGAAGACAGGTGACTTGGGTTGAGCAGAATTTATATCTTTCTGGGGCCCCCGGACAATACATAATGCCATCTTGCACCATCCTAATCCCATCACCATCTCTAACAGATTCCTATTTCATGTGGTCTGGCTGGAGCTCTGCAGAACAGCATCAGTGTTGGCATGGTGTCATGATATTAAAGACAGCATTAAAAAAAAATGTGCATCTTAAGTAGCAAAAAGAAGGTTTCTTTTTGGAAGAGCCCAAGCAAGTGTTTTGACTCTCAGCAAGTCCAGAACTGAGCATTTGCAGACAGAGCTGAAAGAAGTAGGAAGCGTATCTACAGCATGAAGATATCTAGCCTTTTAAGAAGCACTTTTATCAATACACACACATCTGAGCGACTCTGTCAAGGAGAAGAATATTCACTTTCTCAGCACTCATGGAGTTGGGGTGGGGACAAAGCTAGCTACTTCCTTTTTTTTCTTTTTGATGAAATCCCTGCTGAACTACAAACCCCAGCTTCATCCAGACAGACAGCCGCTCTGCAGACCCGAGCTGCCCCTGACAGTATCTGGGAGAACATCTTGCCTCCAGCCTCATGCTGCTGTGGCTACAGCTTCTGGTCCTCGGTGAGTAGGCTGCTAGAGCAGGACCAGGTTGGACCCAGGGGAGAACTCTCTGTTCTGGGGCACCCCGACTCTCTCTGATGCAATGAGTAGGAATGGATTTCAGGCTCTGACTCAGTACTAGCAGACATCATGCAACTAGGTATTAAGAAAAGCAGGGTTCCCAGGAAGTCAAAAGGACCTTGCATCCCTTTACCAAATACCAAATACATCRTTTCTGCTTTGATCTCTAGGGAAATTGGAAGGCTTCTTTCAAAGAACTACAAAGGGATTTTCTATTGGGGTGAATTCCATTTCCAGCCCACATGGATCCTACCTTCCCCGATCCCCACTCCCACTCCATGCTATCACATTTTGGGCTAAGTTCTCACCTCCCTGAACTTTTGGAGAGGTTTCATGTCTTGCTGATCATAGATGAGATGATGGCTTTTGTTGTAAATACGGCCCACATAGAGACATGAACACGGAACTAGGTCCACAATTGGGATGGAGGGAGAAGTGGTGTCGATGAATATGAAAGGCACCCCCTTTTCCTGTGTGACCCTTCCTGGGCTCCGTGTGACTCCCAGGTAGGCAACGTGTCCCAGACAAAGTAGTCAGGAAACAAAAAAAGATAGGAGGGAAGCAATAAATATTGAGACTTCTGAGGATGTAACCAACAAAATGACAAGCTTCTGGTCACGGGTACAGACAGTGCTTATGAACTGGGATAGTAAAATGAATATTGGGTTCCAAGGGGTATGGTTTGTGGGTTGGGGGAGGAGGAAAAAGAAATAGGTGGAATGAGAGAGGGGTGTAAGGGAAGGAAGCGGGGAAGGGAGAGACAGAAGGAAAGAGTGAGATCATGGGGAAGTGCTCAGAGGGTTGTAGCTTTTTTAAAAGTGTGAGGACCTCGGTGATCTGCAGTGATCTCTCCGACTCTGTTCCCCCACAGCTCCTGCTGGTGTCCAGTCCGGTGAGTGACTCTTCTCTTTTTTTCTGAGATCTCTGGGAATTAGATTCACTCTACCAGGCCTGGGAGGGATGGCCTGTCCTAGCCTCTTAGCTGAGGGTTGCAGGGATCTGGACCAAGACTAGGGTCGAGAGAAGGAGGATGCAGAGCCGCCCTCTCCTCCCCCTCGTCCAGCGACAGCAGGACCCTCCAATGCCACATTCATCTCTGCTTGGCTGCCTCCTTCCTCCATGGGCAAGAAGACCCTGCCCTGAGTTTGTCAAAGTAACACATGATTTCCCCTTTCCTGTTGAGCCAGGAGATAGGAAAGAAGGTCACTGTGAAGGGAGAGCAAAGCACGCACTGTGTGGTTGGGAAAACTTCTTCCTGGTTCCGGCTGCAGGGGCTCAAAGTTCCCACCAGAATCCCTGGAAACAGAGAGGGGAAGCATATTTATAAGGGGATAGAAATAAGGGGTCAAGGAGGTTTTCTGCAGAAAACAAGAATGCCCCTGCATCTTCTAATTGGATGGTAAACTCTTCCATGCCTAACCTGATTTTCCTTAGAATTCTAATACAGTGACATGAAGAGGAAAAAGTCTGGTTTCATATGAGACTGGTAAAGCACATTTTCTTCTTTATTCATGCCTTTGAGAAGACATCCATCCTCTAATAAGAAGCGGGGTGAGGCTTGTGTAGCGAGGCTTGTGACTTTAAGCAAGAAGGTCCTTAAATTTGTCTCTGGAGCAGCCTCGTGGGTTCCAACAAATTCCCTGAAATTATGATAAAATGTGTATATATGTTCAGTTGTGCCCGCATCTAGGGGATGGGTCTGTAGGTAAAATGTCAAAACTTAATGACCAATAACCAGGTATCTTACGGTTAGATACTGACTGCAGTTCAGGAAAACCTGGTTTTAGCATTTCCCCCTGTCTCTTGCCCTATCATTATTACCAACTTGGTCACATAAATATCACTCCTTAAATATTTCTTTAATCAAACTGATTACATCTCTATCCTCATCACTGAAAAATCTTTCCCACTGTCAATTTGGAGGAAGAACATATTTGGGCTCCCACACTCTTCTCTCTTTATCGATGCTGTTCGCCTCCCCGCCATCCACTCCCATTCCCTATTCTACTGGCAGAACTTTCAAAGTGGTTAAATGACGAACAGAAGTTGTCCTTGAACTCATTTGATCACTTTGCACTATTCAGAACAAMAAMAAAARAAATTGAACCTGTGTCTTAAATATATTAAATAGATACATGGAAATAGTGAACCTGGTAAAGATGTACAAACCCAGAAAATTTAAAAGAGGAGAAGATCTATCATCTACGATGGAAGTTCAAAGGGCTTTCTCCCCATCTCCTTGTAAGTCTCAGGTTGGAGACTGTGACCTAGACCTCACTGTGAGAGGATCTCTCCTCAGAGACAGGACCCTGGGCAGGGTCCCGCTACCCCTCCTCCGTGACCTCATACCAGAGCACTGAGCTAGGCACACAGCCTGCACAGCACTTGCATGCCCTGTCTCCGCCCTGCAGGGGAATAGCCCAATGTTCAGGTCTGGGATTAGGTGTTTTTACTTTTTTTTATCAGAACAACAAACATTTTCCTTGGACTCCCACGATTCCAAATTGACACTTGAACCCACATTTTTAGTTCTGTTGCCAACTGAAATGTCCCCCCAAAGCCCAGGTCTACAGGGCTGGGTCACAGAACAGCGTGGTGGCTGGCTCTCCTTCCCTTCTTCAGGAAATGGTCCACAGGCTCCTCCGGTCGGTCGTGTCATGCTTTCTTTTCCTGCTCTGGGCAGAGCCAAAGCACCAAAGCTGCTCATTATCTCCCTAATGAGTACTATCTCCCAAGGGGAGACAATGAACGGACAAGTGGAGGGGCCCACTTCCCTTCTCATAGGGAGCATCCAGACCCATTCATGAAAACCATTCTCAGAGTCTCGGAAGACAGCACTGCAGAGGGAACTCGGGAGATTAAAGATGTAGTCCCCGGGCCAGAGTCTCAGTGGCCCGGTTTGCTTCATGCAGGGAGAATATCAGAGAGAAGGCCTCTGGGTTGACGGTACCACTAGACAGAGTCTCCAAGGAATGAAACACGCAGAGAGGGTTGATTATGGCTCCTGTAGGGACCCGCAGTCACCTGGAAGGAGATGCTAGTGGGATCATTTCAAATCCATATTTATTCCAAGTGTTCACTGCTGGGAAGAATGGCATCCAAACCTGTTAACAGATAGAAAACTAGCAAGATGTTTGTTGGACAGACTGCCAGGGAGGTGGAGCTCAACTTTACTTAGCGGGGAGGCTCACAGAGCCAGCAGGTCCCAAGGCAACTGCAGATGCTCAGGCTGACTCACGATAGAGCGCTGTCCCTTCCCCTTATAAGCAGAAGGGAAGGCACCGGGGCAGGGGGCCACCTTGTCACCGGGTACCTTTGCTTCTTTTGTAGGCTGGCTGAGTATCAGCATACCACGCAACGTCTACGAAGGAGACCAGGTGGTTATAAGATGCTCCGGGGAAACAAATGACAGGATACATAGACTCACGTACTACAAGGATGGCTTTCAAATATCCACTTACCATAATGCCACAAGCCACACCATTTCAAATGCCAGGCGCAGCGACAGCGGCTCCTACTTCTGTAAGGCGGAGAGGACATTATTCCCTCCTATCGGTGTGACAGAAGAGACCAGAACTACGTGGCTCGTTGTCCAAGGTGAGGCCCTCACTCTTGGAGTGGATGAACCTGGGAAGGAAGAGGCGTCTGGTGGGAAGAGAACACACACTGGGAGGGAGAAACGGCGGGTGGGCTGAGAGGCCTTGAATCTGGGTGTGGGGTTCTTTGGGGGCCACTGCTCATCAGGAGCTCCACACTCCACAGATAGCGGGGAGTCTCTGTGTCCTCTCTCCCCGCAGAGCTGTTTCCCACCCCTGAGCTGAGAGCCAGACCCCTGCGACCCACGGAGGGCTGCTCGGTGACGCTGTCCTGTAACACCCAGCTGCCTTCGGCGAAGTCCTCCACCCAGCTTCGATACTCCTTCATCCGAGATGGCCACACCCTGAGGTCAGGCTGGACCTCAGCAAGGGTCAAGATCCCAGCGACACAGAAAAAAGACTCAGGGCATTATTGGTGTGAGGCCAGGACGGTGTCTCGTCGTGTCTCCAAGCAGAGCCGCCCATCCTACATAGAAGTGCAGAGTGAGCATGGACGGGCTGGGCCGCCAGGGCGGGGTCAGGCAGGGCTGGGCCGCCAGGGCTGGGCCGCCAAGGCTGGGTCAGGCAGGGAAGAACGGGGCACAGCCTGGACCAGGGGCTCTCTTCTCAGTTGTGCTCCCCAATCCCTGTGGATGAGGGGGCTACCGTGATCTGCCTGGGCTCTTCTCTCACAATCTCTGCAAGGACATCGTTTCCCCGTGACTTTGCTTTACCTGTCAGAGAAGCCGTGATGATAATAATCCCTCTCTGGAGCATTGACCATAAAAGGAGCACTCACCAGCAAACCAAGAAGTGAATAAAAAAATCATGGTGTCTTGTTTGCAAGGAGTGACCCAACTAGGATGCACGTTTAACAGAGCGACGAAGGCCCTAAGTAACAATAATGATTAATAATGAAAGAGATGATTACAACAATCCCCCGCACTTATAAAAAGGATCACTGTACGTTGTGCTCGGTTCTAGGAGAATCTCTCTGATGGTCATAAATATCTGCAACAGGGAAGACTTATGCACATTCACCATGTAGAAGGCACCTTTCAGAGCACTTTAACATTGAGTTATTACAGCAGCCCTACGACACAGTACTGTGATGAGTACCCGTAATGTAGGCACTATTATTATCCCCATTTTGCAAATGAGAAAACTGATGGCCTAGAGTCATTACAAGACTAACCGAAGGGAACCTACAGCTGCAACTTGATCCTGGTGGCTCTGGTACCAAATGTATGCACTTTTAATCCTCTCGCACCACTTTCTACCTAACAATGGCCGAGGAGAGTGTATCAATAAGAGATGTTGCTGGACCGCTTCAAAGCAAGAGGTGCTTTCCATCTGCATCTCATTTAACCTTCATGAGAACTCTGCGAGGTTAGGATGGTTACCCACATGTTTATGTTTGAGAAAAAACAAGGATTGGAGGTCTTGACGTTCCCAGATCATGCGGTGAATGAGTGGCAGAGCTGAACTGTAACTTCCGCCCGCCTGTCTCCCCAGGCTGTGATCTGTCACCACTCCTACTGTCCCCACGCACCAGGAGGTCAGGAGAGAGCATGTCATTTAGACACTGGACATTAGTAAGGATGTGCGATTGTTACTGAGTAGAACATTACGGGGTGGTCCTACATAA